CTGAATAAGAGGTCTTTAATGTGATATCTAGGTAAAAGGTTCCAAACCTTGGTTTTTTTGTAGTGGAAAATCGTCATATTGACTTCTCCCGCCCAGGGTGAGGCAAGAGGGAGTATCAGACCCCGTTCCTTGTCCTGCTTTAGACCTAGGCCGAGACCTTATTGTTGCTATCCTGCAACCCAGCTGAGACCCGGAACGTTGCCTATTTTTAGAGACTTCAGACCACCATAAATGGGACTTACTAGGGCCGTTGTCTAGCCAGGGAGCAGGAGAAGAAAAGTACACTTCCCTTCGTCCCACTGAGCGTGGGAGAAGCCGTTAGATGATCCTCTCCCCTTATAAGCATAAAGGTATGTTCTCTGACACTGGGCAGTCATTCTTACAGCCAGTACAGTAGCCACTACTCTGTGTTATGTGGTAACAAAATATTTTCCCAACCGTCAGTCGTTTTTTTAAGTAATATCCAGTAAAATGAACATTTTACGGCCGTATTTAATTTATTTAGGCAATGGAACACATTCCCCTTGAAGGTCGTTTACGTGGAGCCTCGATGAAGTTGATCTTACTGGCCTATATGTATGTGGCCCGTTAGTTATAGAGCTATTTCTTCGCAATACCCGTCAAAGTAATATGGGCTAACCGTACGTTTTGTAATGTTTTCATGTTTGTTTATATATTTTGCATACCTAACATATAAACAGACATATTTTTTTCTAACCGTATATTTTGTTATTATTATACAGTCAAATTGAAAGAATTCTTTGATGCCTCAGAATAAGGCTGAGACAGTACATTTTTATTGACTTCTAAAAAGTATAGGACGTGTTTGGTTTACCTTGTATATAGCATGCTGAGCAGATATGATGAAGCTGGAGGTGAGGTGGAGTTTTCGCTGAACATTCTTGCATGCTCAGCGAAAACTCCACCTATTGTATAGGTATTTTCTTTATGTTTATTTTAGCCCTGATTATAATTAACTCATTGAGCTACGGACATAATTAAGGAACAATAAAGTTACATATTGAATAATCTGTTGCTCTTCTAATGTTCTAACCACGATCATTTAGTTACTTAGAAAACAAGTTTTCAATTACCATCATAATTGATGCCATTATATCGATAGAAAGACCAGTATAATTATTGTTTTTATGACGGACTTACCGTAAAGGTTTCTAAGGCTTGATTGAACATCAGTTGGGTATAGAACCATTTCATTTTTCTATACCTAAATTCTGAAGTATAGCAGTCAAAACGAATCCATTTTACGAGTTAGGCATTGTTTTATACGTCACCGTCAAGGGTATTGACTAACTTGTACGGGAGCAAGCTTGTAATATGTCTGATCGTGAAGTGAAATCTTGGAACAAAATTTTGAAGCAGATCTTCAACTGTTTGAGGTCATATTTTGTGTACACCTTTAGTTTGCATGACCATAATATGATAAGCTTTCGTCGTCTCGAGATTTAGTGATCCGTCGAATTACTATTAGTTACTTATTATTATATTTTAAACTACGAATAGTTAATGTTTTTAATATACGTAGGTTAGGTACATAGGTACCTATGTATCTCAGGAAATACATCTCTTCATCATATCTACTCCTTATTGTAAAATGTTACGTATTACATATATTAAGGTCAATAAACTTGTCAAGGTAGGAAACTAATATGACCGCAAATACCACAGCCTTTGCACGATAAGCCAAAAATCATTTACGGTAAGCCTAAAACGCGTAGACCTTATTTCTACTATAAATAAAAGTAATTTTGCAGAAATTCAATTATAGGATTTAAAATTTGTCTGTCGTTTGGTAATATTAGGCCTCCGTTAGATAATTGATATATGTACGTATGATAGAATCACAATAGGATTGTCCTGGGCTGTAAGTGCTATTTTAATAAGCACAAAAATTACAGAATTTTGTATTAAAAAATTGTTTATTTTTTCCACCACATATTTTACAGGTACAGTTTAAGTTGTTACAGATTTTACATAGATATAGTAGTAGTAGATTATGGGGTGGACTGGAGCCTAAACTAGGGAAGACCCTGTATTTCAGGATCAGGAATTTTGTATAAATCCTAACTTCTATAAACTCGACACAAAGATCATCACGATCAGCCCGTTTTCGTCCACTACGAACATAGGTTTCTCCATTGGCACCCCACTACCATCCATCGACCATCCATGGACATTACCATCGTACCTAGCTGGAGGGCACCGCACCGCACTTTTGCCTAGACACAATCACCTCTCCAAAACAAACCTACTTTAACGGCCATCTGTTCTTTAATAGTTTAGTTTAGTTCAGTTTTCTTATCCTCTAAAAACATAGGTTTCTCCATTGGCAACAAACTGTTATCCATCGACCTTGTAAACATTATTACCCTACCTAGCTGGAGGGCGCGGTACCGCACTTTTTGCCTAGACACGGTCTCCTCTTCAGAACAGGCTTACCTCAATGGTCATCGGTGCTTCTACAGCTGAGTTTAGTTCAGTTTGCTAATGTTTTCGACTTTGTCAATAACTTCACTCTGCTTAGAGAGAGAGCTTTTTAGAGAGATTCCGAGCATATTACTCTCGATAGCTCCTTGCGCGACTTTAGGTACATTAGTGGTCAGGCGGGGTTGCGGGGTAAGCGCAATGAGGCACCGCGACCTCGATCCAGAGCAGGAGAAGGAACAGGGGGTTTTTAGTCAGTAAGAGTCTGACAATCTCTCTCGCCTTACCCTGGTCGAGAGAAGATTTTTTTTTATCCAAAAAAAAGTGTTTTACTGGATCAGTCGCAATGTAAGTAGGTATGTCTACATCTCGGCTTTTTATCTCATTACTCTTGTAGGATGTAGGTTGTAGGTGCTTTTTTATGTAATAGGTCGGCAAACGAGCAGTCGGATTACTTGATGGTAAGCAATCAGCGCTGCCCATGGACACCCGCAACGGAGGAGTTACGAGTGCGTTGCCGACCTTTTAGGGATTTGGAGATTTAGGGATTGGGAGAGGGGAAGGATTGGGCCTCCGGTAACCTCACTCACACGGCGAAACACACGCTTGGTGACTTTTGTCTTCATGCGTTGTGATAAGTTACTTGACATAAGACTGTCTAACCAAGTTATCTATAGGTATATGCTGGAAAAGGAAGTTGAATCATATATTAACATTTTATCAGTATTCGATATTTGTGGTCTTACATATACCATAAAATTATGTGTAAATGATAACAAGAGAATGTTCGGTACCGCAACACAACTTTATCAAAGATTCGGCCACCATTACAATGAAATTATGCACGTATGAGATTGTTGACCTAGGGCTGTCAAAACTAGAAAACAATCTGTGTCTTCAGAGCGTACGCCATTTAAATGTACTAGTCCAAAATAAAAAAATACTGAACTAATTTTAATGAAAATTGGAGACAATTTAGCTTTCACTATTCAAAATAAATTCCGTCTTAAAATGGTATAAATTTAAGTAAATGGTAGGTACATATGCAATAAAAACTTATATACCTATCACAAAATTAAATACCAGAATATCAGAATTTCCTTAACTTTTGAGCCAATAAAAATCCATAGTAAACAAAAACTTTACAAAAAGTAAAAATAAAGAAATAATTGACATAACACGTTTTACTGACGTCATTATACTTGCGCGACGTCTTCCAGTTCCGCGTATTTTAAATGGCTAAAGGATACATGTAAAGTAAGAATAAAAAAGTCAAGACTATGCATGTGATTAAAGTAATCTGACATCCATCATTTATAAGTTGTTGCTCATCTCTTTGTTTACTGGTTATATGCATTTTATATGTGGATACACCTTATGTTACCTGTGTAGAACAAAAGAGTAACTTAATTTGCTCCTGGCCTATTCACCTTTAGATATTCATGGAACTACACGAAAATTATCTTTCGTTTGAGGACTGTGACCAACAACTGAAATTGTGATTCAAAGAAATGAATCAAAGGATAATACCACTGAGGAAGTTAAAAATTGGTAAAATTTTCCTTTCCAATTAAGTAATTCGTCGAACAGTCGGAAGTACTTATGATTAACTTAAAACACGGTGCACTGAGATTTGTTGCGTCACATACGTAAGGTTGGTAACCTTGAAAAAAAAAATTAATTAAAATAATGGAAAATCAGAACTCCAACAAATCGAAACTCCAACAGGTCGGATATAAGAATTATAATAGCAACTTTTCTTTAAATTTGTCCTTGACCCTTCAATAACAAATACTAAGTTATTAGCGAATGAGGCAGCCCTACGAATATACTAGCGTTCTCAATTAGCGATAAGCCGGCGACCTAATTTAGAACGCATCGCGAATCGCGACCGAGATCATCATTTCTTGAGTTTTCATATTGGTTATAAGGTTTTAATACAAACTTCCCTTTGATCCTTCGAACTGGCCAACCATTATCAATTTAAAGAAAATTAAGGAAATAACAGACTTACCAACAAAAAAATCCGTTTCGTATATTGCTTACTAATACTTACTAATAATAAATGAATAATTGAATACCTATTCATTAATGAAAAGTGCAGCAATTTATGTTACAACATAATTATGTATTATAATCGATAGTTAAATAATAAGTAGGTAAAAGAAAAGTTACTTAACTAATATTTAAAACAAGTCAAATAATATGTTGATCGGAGATGGTTCTTAAATTAAACTTACAATTTTGTCGACCTTTACCAATCATCAGTAAATTATTTAAATAAATAAAAATAACAACTAATTTGAAGTAGTATCTAAACATAAGAAGGTAGATGAACAAATGAAGCAAATAGGTAGAGGTCGAAATACCAAAAGTAATAATTAATTAAACATAGAATTTAATAATATTCCGTGTCTGCTCGTTATTTTGAACTTGTATGCGTGACTCAAACACTGGCTGGACGTGAATTACTCTAGTCTCTCGCGACATCCGATCAAGAGCGGACGCGGCCGTCATTTGCAATTATTTCCCGCCTAATTTTGACAGTTCTCTGTGATCGTCAATTTATTATTTGGAAAAATAATTTAAACGTAAGTAGTTTGTTTTATTTATTTCTTATTTATTTTTTATAAATAAGTACAATCCTGATTTATGATTGTATGCATTGAGAGGGTAATTTAAGATAAGCAAAATGGAAATAAGGTAAGCGTCAGTAGCATTAAAAATAAGTACTTCGACGTTTGTTGTATTTACATAGTAATTTTAAAATCAATCAAATATGTCATCATTTCACAATATGACAATAACAAACTCAAACAATGAAATACAAAGTTAATCAATAGAATTTAATTGCGATACTTAATAACATCACAAAAAAATTACTCTCGGATACAAAAGGTATCTTTAAATACTACCTAATAACAATAATATTCAAGGAGAAAATTTCAGACTGTTTATCATTAATGACATTATTTTGCGTGTAGATCCATCCGAGTTTTTAATCGATCATAACAAAGCATGTCTTTGTGGAGTCAATGTACCGTCAAACTAAATATAAACAGTTTATCTCAAAACATGTGTTGAAAGAGTGGTGATCGAATGGTACTACAAAAAAGTTCATATAGGTAGTTCCTGTTGTTTATGGAAAAGATAAGGCGGCTATCAATATTCAAATTGTAATTTATGATGCTTGTTTTTTTCCAAGGCTACTGGGAAACTGGGTAGTAAAAGACTACTAAGTCAATGTAATGCATTTATTTCAATTTAATTCGTAAACAGGCACTTTTGAATCAAGAAACTTGCTTTCTTCATCGATCTGTCTTTAGTGTGGCTAAGAAATCATTCTAGAATGTTGATTCGTATTTAGAAAAACGAATCAGAGACCCTACCCGATGTACTCTTTTCTTTTTTTTTCTTATAATTTCAAACCAATATTGTATTAAATGTTAGCACTACAAATAAGTAGTAGTTAACAAACCGGTCGATTTATTTTAGTTTATAATTTATAAAAAATATTTTGTGTCTGGTTAGATTCTAGTTACAAAATATTAGCGACCACGATCTTCAATATCATCAAATACCTGAGTTAATATTCCGTTCCTAACTGATTGTACCTAGCGTTATTCTTAAGTCTTCATCACTTATGAAGAGACTTGATTTCTCCTTTTTATGGGGGGAAGTCTTCAAATGGCTTCTTCCACCACGTTGGTTCTCCTGCTCCGAGAAGGGGTTAGAACTGGTATTGAAATAAATAAAGTAAAATAATTTAAACAACAATACTGTACGTATAAAATACCATTCGGAATTGCAGATGCAAGTGCAATAATTTACATAATAATTAATAATAATTTGCAAGATTTTTAGTTTAAGTCTAAAAGAGTCAAGTAAAACGGTAGGAGAAATGATTGTATAATTTTCCTCTCTCAAAATAAACCTCAAGAAGTTAAAAAAGTTTTTTTTAATATTGTAGATACAGAAAACAAAACTACATATTGCTGGATAAAAAACTACATTCAAAAACTCTTTGGTTTTATCCCAAAAAAAAAAGAAATTCCTCAAACAGATAAACGCATTGTTTGAATGTATGACTATCTTAAATGGGAACACAATTAGCATGCGTTGCACGAAACACTAAAGATACGGTTCCCAGCTAAATGCATTTGTTGATTATGTTATCTGAACGAACGTACTGCGGACGTATTATTATCTAACGTAGATAAACCATGTTCTACAGACAAGCGTTGTTATAATCATTTGATATGTACATAACTATAATATAGCTGTTTAATTATGCAATAGTAAGATTGTTCGAGATTAGAAATAAATGTCACCTTTTTTAAAATAACTATGCTTTAGCGATCCTTTTTTAATATAGAGATTTAAATTAAGAACGCAGTTCCTAATGAAATCGACTAGCAAGCAGGTCTGAGTGTAGCAAGCCGGAACTATGTAAATAGTGTATCCGGAGGTAACCTATCAGTTTTTGAAAAAAAGTTTTAATCTTCTTTTTTTGTACTCGGTATTTTATTTACGTTGATTTTCCGTGTCCAGATTCTATTTTCAAATTAGAATACGTTAATGAATATTTTAAATTAAATACGGACTTTTCAACGATTGATTTAATTCGAAATATATATCAATCTTGTGTATTACCCTTTTTTAGTTATTATAATATATGTTCCATTTATTATTATAGATACTTTCCTACACGAATCTAGTATAGGTATTGTTTCTTCCGCTACACAACAAATAACTAAATCTTGTATAGTTTTTTTATAAATTCCTGATTATTACTTGAGTTAGGTACCTATATCAAGATATTTCCCGACGATTATTATTTCGTGTTGATCGCTAACATTCATTATAAGTAATTTATTCTGTAATTTTCATTATTTTAAAGGACAGTTAATGAATGACATACATACTTATTAAGTTATCTACACTTATTAATTTACTGCGTGTAAAGTGAATCCATACATTTTCGTAAACTTCACACCCTATCACTTCTTTACATTACTATTTCTGATTACCCACCAAGCCATTGAATCCTTATACGGCGCCAGTATCACCAGAAACAAGCAAAAATCAATCTCACTCCCCTTCATTTAAGATAAAATATTGCATCACAAGCTTCTTGGAACATTTTCTAGATTAACTAAGATACATGCATTGATGCTTTAAAGCCGATTATAAACAACTCAGGTCTTGATAACCTTGACTTGGTTGGTTGTTGGGTCACTATGAAATAAATCTGATGTAGCCTGGGGCCACTGTTTTATTACAAGAATACTATCTATTACAAAGTTATCTTCAGTAAGAGTTTAAGTACCTTTTGATATATTACAAGTAAAAAGTAATGGCTTTTTGAGGTCTGCTAAGGTGAAATATTGCTGCGGTTTTGATTTCGAAAACTTTTGTAACTAGCAGTGTGTTTTGGCTAAGTGAATGGAGATTGGCTGGACGGCCATTTATTCCTGGAATATTTCTATCTTCCATCCCCAATCATTAAGAAGAATATAGTGTGTAGTAAGTGTGGGAGAGCCAAGCTTCGGCACGAATGGGTCGGCTCGACCGGAGTGATACCACGGCCGAACAGAATACCGACGTGAAACAACCACAGCGTTTCGCCGAGTGAGTGAGGTTACCGGAGGCCCAATCCTTCCCCACCCCCATTCCCTCCCAATCTACATACCATAATCCCTAAAAGGTCGGCAACGCAACTAGCTCATAACTCCTCCGTTGCGTTGGGTGTCCATGGGCGGCGCTGATTACTAGCCATCAGGTAATCCGTCTGCTCGTCTGAAAAATTACTGCTTATTTTTTTTTGATATAAAATTAGCTCGTTTATGCTAACTTTTTTTCTATTACGTACATAGATAATGCCTCCTACCTATACGGCTATAAATAACGTGACCTTCAGACCTAGCCATCAAATGACCTAAGTATACCTAACTTTGATACTTCCGTCTTCACTTAGACGAGTAATTTTAGTTCCAAGCACGAGTAATGATAGCGAATTAAATCTACAGCCTGTAGTAAAACAGTAATCACTTGATTGTTCGTTTGTGCAATCGTAACTCAAGAACTGCTAAACCAATTTACGTAATGTTTGTTTTCATATTTATAAATGTGGCAGTTTAGAGCCTCGTTATTGTGGTTGTTAGTCGCTGTTAATCTATATTATGATAACTCCTGTTCCATTCTAGGATATGGTGGAATAATGTATGGTAGAATAAACCTACCTATTTCAGATTTTTTAGTTATAAAATTGCTGGATTCGTTGATAATTGTAAAACTTTGTTGTTAAATCAATTCGTAAAACATATAAGGCAAGCATATTCACTTTTTGGTGGTCACAACGTGTCGAACACCAACGGGAAAGTTTAGCGAACATTAAACTAAGTATAAAAAGTAGGTGTCTAGAAAAGTATTGATGAGAAACAACAGATGCAACTCAAATCAATAATTGATAAGAAATAGGAACTTCAATCGATAAGCTGTGTAACATATCATCACAACTGCTATTTTCTAGACTATAGACAGAAGTGTTCTTGCGGTACAATATTTCGTTCTTATGTAGCTAATAAGAGACAATCGCTAAGTATAATGAGATAAATTTTAAGCTCAAATTAAAAAAAAAAATTTAGAAAATCAGTGGATCAAGTGAAATGATATGCCGAGCCCTATTCGCGCCCGGATCAGGAGCAGAAAATGAAACAGCATTGTTTTTGGCCAGTAATTATGAATCTGATACCGCCTCTCTCCCAACCCAAATGAGAAGAAACGAATCGATGATTTCCCCCGCAAAAAATTCTATGGAAAAGCCAGATATCGAAACATCACGAAGTTTGTAGTCTGAGTGAGTAGAGGGGAGATTTGGGCAATAGTGAAAATCGTTGTGTCCACTAGTATGTCAAAAGTCAAAGTCAAAATCATTTATTTCAATTAGACCACAGTAGGCACTTTTGAACGTCAAGCAAAAAGGAAAAAAGTAGGTATATCAAGAGCTTTAAAATTAAGCGTGTCAGTCTGTCCGTCTGTCCTCTAGTGAAGCTATTTGCTCGTTCCAAAGTGTAGATTCCTATGGAGGAAAACGAGCAAGAAACTCCATGGTTACTTTTTTTCATATTTTAGTATGAAATATAAAGCTGAAACTTTGAATATATGAAAATGTTTTGATTTGCGCGCGTAGGCCTAGCTAAGCATACATATTTACAACGTGCTAAATGTTACAGTAAACAGGTGGTTGAATTTTAATTAGGTGCAAATAATAACTTCTAACAAACATTATAAGAGTCAATTTACATTGTCACGGATTTAGAGATTAGCCAAACATTTGTAGGTAGGATTTTGGAGCCTAGTCGAGAAATCTTGTGGTGACGTACCTTCTTATTTAAGTACCTCAAATTCAATTCAAATTCTAAATACTTACTAAGTTTATTGTTTACTGTTCACTTTGTTATGGCCAAAGGAGTTAAAAACAAATAATTTATACTGTCGTGTAAAAATCTGCGTGGAAAGCAATAGGCGCCGTCCATGCATCAATGAGAAAAATGCGTTGCCTATACGAGGTTAGAGATTTATATTATTATTATTAACGAGGACAGAGTCTACCTACGGTAACCGAATTGCTGCATTCAAAATGCCGGTTTTTATTGAGGCCTGGGATCACTTCCACCGACACTTAATACGAAGTCTAGTATTTTTCCCTGATACAAATTTAACCATTTACTTTGCTACACAAATAGAAATTGAAAACAGAAAAATAAACATTTACAAAAAAATACAGTGTAGCAAGGAGAACGTCTAAGTATATGCTGTGCTAATACACAGCACTGATTTTTCCTTTCATAAATTCTCTTTTAGTATCTGATCATATTTCAACGACATTAAAAGACAACATTTTTGATTAATCACGATGCGTAAACATAATGCCTCAACCAAAAAAATATTTGTAAATAAAAATCTTTGCTCACTTCAGTCTACGTTTCAAGGGTTGTTGAAGCATGAATTAGTCTTACATTTTATTAGAAAAAATACCTTTTGTTTGTGGATTTGAGAGATTTTAAATTGCAATTTCTACAATCATTCGTTTCAACTGTGAGATCGTTGTAACCACTCAGTTATAGTCTATCTACCTATTGGCAAAATCATAAAACTGATTGCAATATTGATACCATTTTATTTATATTTATGTTGAAGGTTAAGTAAAAGTGTAGGTTGACTGATATTCCTCATGCCCTCTTTGCCCCAATTGAATTGTAAGCAATGTATTGTTGTTCTTAATTTCAAACGTAACAGTGACGTCATGCCATTGAACTACTGAACTTAGTTTCCATTCCGAAAAATGTATTTTCGGTTACGTTAATTTGTTAATTTTTAGTATTCAATCCTTGTCAATTGAGTGGTAGTAGTGGGAGAGCCATGCTTCGGCACGAATACATCGACTCAACCGGAGTGATACCACGGCCTCTAAAAAAACGCGCGTGAAACAACCACAGCGTTTTGTTTCGTCGTGTGAGTGAGGTTACCGAATGCTCAATCTCAATTTTTTTTTATTTTTTCATCTTAAAAATGAGGTGTCGTCAAATCAATGAATGAAAATGTGATTGTATTTTAATAATTAATTAAACTTTAAATTCATAATAATTTATTTTTGACCTAGGGAACTACTCAATTGCATTTAGTAGGTACAACAGCAGTAGACTGGCCCTCTTGTTTTGGAATAGTTTGATTTGTCATTTTATAATACTTACCTACTTTATTGTGAGGGGAAAATCATCAAATGACTTCTCACGCCCAGGGTTGGGATGAGACAATGTCAGACTCTTACTGATTAAAAACCCCCGTTCCTTCTCCTGCTCTGGGCCGAGGTCACAGTGCCTCATTGCGCCTACCCCCCTACCCCGGCTGAACATCAGCCCTATAGGGCGCCGTCTGTGGTGGTCTATTGGCTCTTTGAGGCTCGCGCGGAACGATACGCGCCGTCCGTTCGGGATTTTATAATACTTGAGTCTTCTATAAAATGTAGAATTAAAGCTTGCTTCTTTTATAATTATTAACGTTTGTATTACCTCTGTTCCAGAGTTCAAAATGGCTACCACAGCAGCTGATACAAGTAAGAATGGAGCCGCGCAGAATTTGATGAAGAAAGCCCCATGGTGAGTTTTAACGATGGAATTTTACATGATTTGTATACCTAATGATATAAAGATCAAGTATTTTGAACTGCCCCTGTATTTAATACCTGGTGTAAATTCGCACTTGTGCTATTTTCGGTAAACATCATCGAATTCCTTAGTGTTATGGTAAGCAATAAAAATAGTAGTAGGTATCTAAATCAGTATTTTTTATTGAGTTGTGCTTGTGTATATGTTTACATGTCTGTTGTTCTTTTTTATTTATATTTTTTGTTTTATAAAAATAGAACACTTATGTGAAGGCACCGGGGGGTTGGTACAAACATCAACATCTCGATCATCATCTTCACAGTCCATCGCAGGGCGTAGGATTTTATTATCAGACCGAATAAATTACAAAAATAACGGACGTCGGCGATCCGTCTCCTATGACAGCCACAGCGCTTGCTCTCCACCATAATGCTCACGCAGAACTGTCAGTTTGACATTCCGCCAGATTACAATTCATTGTACCCTCGTCCGGTGAATTGTGATAAAACCTCCTTCAAAATTCAATTTAAATAATCGACCCTCCGACATATGTAATTAAGCATACTTTTAAACATACACACATCTATACATTACATAAACATATTCTTATGATTCGAAAATTCGAAAATTGTTCAATCGAACTGAATAATTTAAAATAATCTCGGGTATTTTAAAGTATTATACACTTAGCGCTAGCCCTATTAAATAAACAACCAAATTCTTTAGCATGAAAATCCTACAAAAATTAAAAAGTAAGCAAAATAAGTGAGTAAAGATGAACGTTTGTTACCTTTTCAAGTAAAAACTACTGGAGGAATCCGAATAAAATTTAGCATGGAGATAGATTATGGAAAAACATATAAGCAAATTTTTATCCATATTCGGGAAATTATGAATTTTAGCATGATATTCATTTGTTTACTAAGTAGCTTAGACTCGATATACAATACATTCATATGTACATACATATACCGTATATAGGTATGTATATGTATTTAATGTATTGAGTTCAATATCACTGAAAACTCGTTCATACATTACACCTACTTAATTTACTTAGTTGACTTCATTGGTGATTGGTTGCGGTAATTAAAAGTGAGTTCAAGGGTCTTCGAAACTTATTCTAAATATGTAGTGTAGCGTGAAGTTAAAAGTCAGGAATTGAGTTATAATATAGACAAAAAAATTAAAAGGTTTTTTATGTGCAAAAGGTGGGAAGTGCATGTTTCTTAACATGGGGCACGCGCGTAAGGCGCCTCGGCATGGAGCAGGATAAGGAAAAGGTTTTTTTAGTCAGTAAGAGTTTGACACACTTCTCGCCGCACCCTGGGCAGGAGAAGTAATTTGATGATTTTACCCTTACAAAAAAGCGCTGTTTTTTGGGACTGCCTTTCCGATGTTATTGAGTAAAGTTTTTCAAGTCGCATTTACGAAAACGCGCGTCGTGCGGTGCGTTGTACATTATTCGTAATGATCACTAATAAAGCACTTCTTTATTAGTAATCGATGTAATGTTCATATATTTTTGTTAGCGTGGCCAAAGACGCGGTCTGCCGCCGCGTTGTACGGCGAACGCAAAACACCCGCGTTTGCGTAAAAGCAAAGCAAAGCCAAAATTAATCCAAGTAACACCTTATTTATTTGTATTTATTTGCTGGTTATCAGCGATCGATTTAAATAAATATAGTCTACCCATCGATTAATTTCTTCTTTCCTACTAAGGTCGTATCAATCAAAAGTTACATATAAAATTATAAAAACTGCGAAGCGATATAATTACAGCAATCATGCTACAAGGCTGTTGTTGAGAAAATGTATTATCAATCGAAGTTTTTGTTTTATTTGTTGTATATATCTTATTCACCTTTTTACAAATAAATACATTATACAAGTACGATAGATCATTAATAAAATAAGAATATTTAAAAGCTAAAAAAAATACAAAATGATAGAGAAAATACCGAGTTATTTAAATAAAGAAGAAATATGCAAGAAACTTGAATAGGACGATTATGAAAACAGGCCAAGCGATGTGAAGACTGTAAAAAAATAGAACATAATTTTATTTCTAATAAAAACTTCTATAGTTACTCCAGGTACCTATATACATAGAACTAAAAGGTCTTCAAGAGAAGGACAAAGCCTAGTAAATGATTTATACCTACCACCCAATTTCATTTAGTTCCGACCAGCAGTTCTGGCGTTACTACTCAACAAACACAATCATGAAAACACGCTTTCAAATAAAAGAAAACATCAAAACCTTCTATGAAATTGATTACAAAATATCCTATATCCTTACAAAGTCACCTTTATCTAACATTACGACATTACATTTACTGTCGCGAAGGAAGGAAACCTTCAGATCCTCGGCTAAGCGACTAGTCAGCTAGTTAGGGCAATTTGATTGTCCACGCATGCGCTGTTACACAAGTGGCGCGGGCGCATCTCAATCACGCGCCAACCATTGACCTTATACGTGCCGCGAGCGTGACATTGACTTTCGAACTTATGGGGGGTTTTCAAGGTCGTTCGGTCAACTTTGATATTGTAAACGGAATTGGATTATGGATTTCTGAGATCGATCATAACATTGTTGATCGATGAGAAATCATTTGATGTATAAATAAAAAGATGTGATTGTTTCACACCTTTTTTCCGTGAGACCGAAGTGCCACTTCTGTCAAGCCGGCTCCATACAGCCGAAGCAAGACCCTCCTACAAAAAATTTGATTACAACCACACAAGCTTAGTAGTTATTTATCCGTCATTTATTAAAATTAATTATAATTAACTGAGTTTCTTTCCTTGTTCCTATGGTAAAAATCGATTAAGATGACTTTTGTTATAGAGATATCCCTAATTCTAGAAACCAAATTTGGAGCAGTACTTTGATTCGGGATAGCACAGTAGCAGTGTCGAGTTAATTGGCGAACCTCAAATCAAACAAAACTTAGAAAAACAGCCACGATCAGTCATCATCATCATCAGCCTATAAAATCCCACTGCTGAGCAAAGGCCTCTTCTCATACCAAGAAAGTTAGAGCATTAATCATCACGCTTGCTCAATGTGGGTTGGCGATTTCAAACTTATAATTAGTAATTATAAGTCCAGATTTCCTCACGATGTTTACCCTTACCGTATGTCAGTGGTGTTTAAATAATCATAGAAAGTACATATAACTCGGATAAAGTCACATTGGTACTTGTCAGGTTTCAAACCCGGGCTGCTTAACCTCCGGGCCACCATGAGCGAATTGCCTAAAATAGCAGACAAAATTATATTGTGGGCCAGTACACAATTTATTTAATTATAATTCAAGTAGCAACAAGTACTAGTACATATTATTATGTATACTCGTACATAAATACATATGTAGGTACTATTGTTTTTGATAATACATTCCACTGTGACTACATAACATTCGTTTTATTGTTCAATATAATTTGGGGATTCATTAACATTCGAGTTTGGAAATCAAAGAATTCATTTGTAAGAGATTGAAGAGACTTTTCGTATCTATTTTCTTTTGTCAATGCATTTTTATTGGTTAACTAACTAGCCGTGGTGCTAATTGTCCAAACCAGCTCTTCTGAAGAGCGATCGCGAGCGGAGATAGAAATGTATATAATTTTTTATTATCAGTTTTGTTTGAATACCAAGCACTCTTTCATTGTATTTGTTAAACAATACCATAAAACTTATAATTTATGAATGCCATGTCACACAATAGTATCGGTACGCTAGACGAGGATTAGCCTTTAATAGTTTTTATCAGCGGTCAAAGACCTAAATATTTTTTAAGGGAACCGAGTAAGTTTCCTAAGATCGGAAAAGGAGGATCCTCCGATCAGCCGAGGTGATTGCACTTTGTCGACTACTCCCAACAGTTGTACGTCGGGATTTTCTATCCGTGTTTATTACTAGGACTTGCTACATCTGTTGTAATCATTTTGTTATTATATTTTTGTCATTCACCCGCGTTACCCAGATGAGAAACAGCCTGTGTTAATCCAGACTATAATCTATCTCTGTGTCAGTTTCATCAAATCAATCTAGTAGATGAGTAGTGAAAGTGTAACCATGTTCTAGCCATACAGTAATATTATTTATTTTCATCACAAAGAATTGGTAAGATATTTTTAAGCGTCGATAGCAAATGGTAATTACTTATTATGATTTTCGTATAAAATAGTGTTGATTGTTGATCAAACTAACAAATTTAACCCCACGATAATACATTTGTTTACTCTTTACACACCTACCTTCCTGTCTAATAAAAACTTTGCTAAGTGTGTACTTTTTATTTCTCACACTAGGCAGAATGTAGACGGCGTACTCAATCATTGGATCACGGTTCAGTATGCCTAAAACATGAATTTTATACAAAACTAGCTAATCGCGTTTTCACCCGCTGCTTGGCTCCATTCAATCGTAGCGTGATGTTTTATAGCCTGTAGCACTCAGGAAAATCGTAGCTATCTATCAGTGAAAGAATTTTGGCAATCTGACCAGCGGTTCCAAAGATTACACCCTACATACAAACATTCAAATTTTACCTCTTTATAATATTAGTAAAGAAAAATACCGTTAAGTGCGAGATAGACTCATCAAGACGGCTCCCATGTAAAAATCAATATTTAATTGTGTGGTTATTATATGTTGTTACTCACATCACATACAGCGGCAGCCTATATATGTCAACTGCTGAACAAAGGCCTCTTCTGACACGAAGAAGGAAAGAGGATTAATCACTAAGCATTTAAAGGCGGATTAGCTGTACATATCGATAGTGAGAAATTATATGTTGAGGCTTCCTTACATGTTTTACTTTTTGTTTGTTTGTTTTACTTCATGTATATCAGGGATGTCAAAACAATATTGGAAATCACATATAACTCGGGGCAAGTCATATTGGCACTTGCTAGCAGTCAAACCTGCAGCCTTGTGCAAGAGAAACTTTTTTTCTTTTTTTTTAAACGTTGCCCCA